TCTTCATACACACATGCACATGTGCCCCCCCACATGAGCATGCATGTGCGTGCATGCACACGTGCACTCACACACACAGAGGCAGGGGGTGGGAGATGAGGAAGCAGTAAAACTTCTTCCTGCATATCCGTGACTCTAGAAAGCATGCCTTCAGACTAAGTGATAGGCCTGTGATCTTTCCTCCGGAGGTCCAGAGATAAAGGAAGGGAAATAAGAGGCACGAGGAAGAGATGGAGTAGCCATTGGAAGACAAAGCACTCAGCTGCATGTGATGTCAAAAAGTTGCAGAACAAGAAGATTCAGTTTTAACTGTGAATTTTGAACATCCCATCTCTAACAATACAACTAATTAAGGAGAGTACAGGCCAATGATCCAGTCCAAATGCAAGCAAAATTTCACCAGAGGCAGATATGTTCTGGCTGGAAATCACTTGATGACATTGACATCCTGTGGTACGATTTCTTTGTAAGTTCTTGATTGATCCAGGAGTTAAAGTGTTCGGAACTGGTGGCCCCTTTGCCACTGAATCTATAGTAGAATTAAGCCTGGCGTAAGAATCAGAAGATTAATCTCAACAATATAGATGCCTAACCAAGATCTTCACAAAGACACTACCAGTTGACACACCAGCACGGATGGAGGAACTCTCACAAGGCCCCACCCCTAAGTGGAGAGCTATGACAGTTAATGACAGCTGAGAGCAGGGGGCGGGAGACAGGGGATCAGTCTTCTCCAGGGATATGCCCTCTAATATTATTCAATCCCAAGTGGTCAGTCTTCAGCACATACAACATATGCACAATAGCAAAATGGGCCCTCTAATGTGTGCATGTGTGTATGTGTGTGTTTATGTAACAGTAACAGAGAAGAGGTAATACATTTGAGAGGGAGTGTGGGGGCACTGGGAGAATTGGAGGGGGACGAGGGAGGGGTGGAAATGGTGTAAATATAGTACTCATATATGAAATTAAGAAAATTAAATTAGAGAAAAAAGAATGGGAAGACCTCTATTTGGGTTTGATGCTCCATGATCTGCCATGCCCCCATTTTCTTCTGTCTTCACTTTAGTTCACCAGAACTTTATTGTGAAAACTAAACATCCAACATACAGGAATATGGAAAGGAACACAGATTTAAACGGCATGGAAATACTGCAAAGTGCTATAAGACTAAGAAATTATCATTAGAATCTTAGTGACCTATTTTCCAAACCCAAATTGCACCACATAGTATGAGAGGATTCTTGTGTCACTTCCAAAGACAAGAAAGCAGTCTGCAAAATGTAATTCAGATGCCAAAATATTGCAATTTTTGGCACATTTTGATGGTTCCTGAGAGCAGTGATCAAGTATTTGAAATAACTGCTCAGTAAAACTCATGCCATGTGATCACCATCATTTTGAGATTTGTAAAAAGCTGCTTTGTTTTTCACATGAGTAGAAGTCCTTTGATTCCATGTAATTCTAAAACTAGGAGGAACTTTTAAAGAAAATTTATTTTATGGGTAAAGATGTTTTGTATAGTCGTATGTCTGTGTGTGCACCACATGGATGCCTGGTGCCTGTGGAGGCCAGAAGGGGGCGTCTGAGTCCCAGTAATTGGAGATACAGATGGTTTCTGGTTGCTATGTAGATGCTGGCATTCGAACTTGGGTCCTTTGGAGGAGCAGCAGGAACTCTTAACTATGGAGACATTTCCTGCTTTAGGTCTTCAGGAGAAATACTGCTTGAAGGTTACACACACACACACACACACACACACACACACACACACACACACACACACACACACACACACACAGATCACGAACAGCAGCAACTATCTTCTCCTAAAGATAAGAGTGCTGTTGCCTTTGCGGGCATTCAGAGTTTCCACTCCTTTCATCTTTGTTCACCTCCCCCTTTAAACAAACAAACAAGAAGTAGCGTAAGAAAGGACTAACTTTTAAGTTGAAAATTGCTTCTTAAAGGACAATAATATGAGAATGTTGGAACATGAAGCAAGGTGTGCCTTTAACCCCAGCACTTGGTGGCAGAGACAGGCAGACCTCTGTGATTTTGAGGTTAGCCTGGTCTACATAGTGAGGTCTAGCCAGCCAGTGCTATGTAGCCAGACTCTGTTTGTTTAAAACTGAAACAATAATTATGGGAATTCTTTGCAAGAAAAGTTTGAAGACATGTCTAGGCCATAAACATTTCACAATTCACCTCACCTGGTATGTTAGGTGACAATGGCAAAAAAAATCTTCCACTAACTTTGGTTTGCAGCATAATGAGTTCATGTAATATCTAGCATATTATTAAACTTTATCTAGAAACTTAGGCTATTAAATGGTTTACTCCTTGAGGACATTTGGCTTCTTAATACAACAGTGGAGATGGGAGAGTTTATAGCATATTTCTTTTTGGTTTTAATTTTGTTATTTATTTTTATGTGTATGGTTAATTTGCCTGCATGTATGTCTGTGTCCCACAGATGTGCAGTACCCATAGGGATTGGAAGAGAACATCAGATACCCCTGGAACTGGAGTTATAGACAGTTGTGGGTGCTGGGATTGAGCCTGGGTCCTCTGGAAGAGCAGTTAGTGCTCTTACCTGCTGAACCATCTTTCTAGCCCCTCTAGTCTATTTCTTGTGACTACATATATTCGTTTTCTCTTTTTCACTGTATTCCTTCCTTCTCAAATGGCTTGAGATTTATCTCTTGAGCTCCTGTACACCTATTGTTTCCTGTCCCTGAACTCACATATCAAAACAATAAGTCATTTATTTTCATTTTCAGTGACAAGAAAAGGAACATTTTATAGTTACTTCCATGACATTTATAGTAACTTGAAAACCATGGAGTAGATCAAATTCATATTGACTGCTCTATGAAGTGTCTGAGTTTCCAACAGAAAACACAAATAAAACTGAGTTTTTGTTGTTATTAAAATGTCCAAATAATAAGACCTTGTTGTTAATAATCCAGTTAAGTTTCAGTTTTTTTTCTGCTGTCTGAAAATTCTGCATGTATCCCTCAGATTGCTTCTGAAAGGATGAATGAATGGATTTGCAGCGGGACTAAAACAAACAAATCTATATCCTCAGCTGGGAAATTGATGCATGAATTACGCATCTGTAGCCTTTTTGTGACTTCAGAGCTTAGACACAGTGGAGAAAGTAGTGTCTATCAAGCAGGGTACCATGAGCCTTCAGACTGAACTACGAAAGGGTTCACAAAGCCAGATGTAGTAGCCGGGGAGTCACTATGCAGAACATCTGTTTTATTGGCATAGTTCTCTTAGAGATTGGAGCAAGCTGCAAATCGACCAACAGGATGGCTTTTAGTGCTGTTGGGAATAGATCTTGCGCAAGGCAAGCAAGAATCATCCTTGGAGCTTTCTGCTGCCACACCTCTGGTGGAGGGCCTTGGTGTGTATGCTGAAACTCTCATTCTCGGGTCAATGAAAGAAATGGGTCTTAGGGAGAGTAGCATCTCATTAAAGGGACCTCCTTTGATTAAACAGAACAGCATTTAGCACAGTCTTCCTTGGTGGTATTCCTGAAGTTTCTACACTTATTATTCGTAGCGAGCATGTCATCTTTGTGCGTTCAAGGAAAGAATGTCTATTTGATGTTGTCATGGCCAGCCATCAGAGAGAATAAATGCCTCACTAAAGTTTGATATGGCTGGCTGTTAGCCATGCGGATGGTGACAATCAATCTGGCTATTTTTTTAATTGCTGGTGCACTAAACCATCATAGATTGACCCAGTTGGATCTTAGAACTTAAATGGGTACTAAAGGAAAAGCAAGCAGCATCCTATGGGTGGTTTGAAATGCCAAGTTTATTTCAGTGGGATCAGCACTGTAGTCTTTTATGGAACCCTTCTGAGATCTGAAGTGACAGACTTTAAGAAGACACGAACCACATGTTGAGGGTCCGCACACTCAGGTGCCACCTTGGTGCTTCATTCAGGTATATAAATTATATACCCCAGTGGAATTCAAAATGACAGCATCTGAGAAGAAGAATATAATATTCTCTGAACCACAAAGTTAGGATGTATAGTTTTTCTAGTTCAGTCTAGAAGGCTTATGGTTACTTGATAGCTGTTTAAGCATAAAGATCAGTAACACACATAGGCTCACGTTTTGTGTCTGGATCTAGCAATTGATAAATTGATAGACACAATCACTTGGCATAAGCATTCAATCTGTCATCCAGACCTACTATTTCCAAACTTTGATATTTCCAGTAACGGCAATGACACCTTACATTCGTATATTAGCTCACAGTTGATAAAGTAGTTTTATCGAAAGTCCAGTTGAGCAGTAGCCTTCTAGTTTGTTGGCACTTTTATGTCACTTGTCAGAGGACATAGTGACCTTTGATTTCACGGAGAATGAATCTGTCACTAACACAATTTATCAAACAAAGTATCCATCAAGTTAACAAATACCTTTGCAAAGGGAAAAATTGCAAAGAGGGACCCTTGAAATCCGCTCAGTTTTTTTGTACAATACTAGTTGACAACTGAGAAATTATATTTTGCTTGAGACTTTGTTTTATTTGCAGTAAGAGGCACATTAAGTAACAACACTGAATCAGAAAGCAACTCTAATTTAAATTAATTAGAACTACAAAAAGCTCATTTTTATTTTCAAAATGTTTTCTTAGTTTTTTTACATGTTTCTTTTCAATATTTTTGTATTACTGAAGAATTTAAACTTTGCAGAAGAATATGCTAATGTAAGACTTCCTATTTGTAGATGAAATTGACAAGTACCTTTTTATTGTCTTTAAATTGCCAGTGTCTGAAGGCCTGTCATAATTGGATGAGCCATTCTGCGATTTAAATGCATTACAGCCTTGAACATGACTGCAAAGTGAACAGTCCTCTAGGGAAAGTGGGGCTGGCATGAAATGGATACGGCTAACAGAATTTAACTTGTACACTCTTTTCCAATAGTTATTGATTACAGAATTAAGTATTAGCTTCTGCTTCTCTTTCAGAACTTTGCAGAGAACACCATGAATGAACTTCTTGGCTGGTATGGCTATGATAAAGTTGAATTAAAAGATGGTGAGGACATTGAGTTCAGGAGTTACCCTACTGATGGGGAGAGCCGGCAGCACATTTCTGTTCTCAAAGGTAACTGTGTTTAATGGCTCTTTGCTCATGCAAAGCAGAATGAACTGTTTCCACTTTCCAGAATTGAATTGCTGTGGGTCTCATTTGGTTGTTCTGCACACAACTAGTTTAAACCTCAGCTCCTCACCCTGTAGCTCTGGCCCATATGGGATTGAGTAATTAATACATGTGGGAGTTGCACAAACTTTGGCAACAGCAAAAGGTTTTTGAAGATAGAGTGGCCCCCAATTCATTGCAAATCAATGTGTAATGCATCTGATGTGTTTCTGGGAGTGCATGCATGTGATGCATCATACAACTTCACTGAAGCCTTGGTTCTGAACACGTAACATGAGCGCTTTGCCCCATGCAAGCCGTCATGCCATTTAGTGACAACAAATGCCTCCTGAAACACAGCTCAGACTCAAGAGTATTGTATGTTATGGGTCTCAGTGTCCTTACTATACATACAAAGTTCTCTGCTCTTATAGAAGCCCAATTACTTAATTATAGAAAGAAAGACAATGTTTTCCAATGTTACCCCTAAGTGCTCAAGTACCAAGTTAGTTTATTTTTGGATTTATTTTCTTAGGAAATTTGACTTTTAAAAAATTTCATTTGAGTAGCTGACTTGAATTGCATTTAAAAAATTATCAAATGAATTTTGGATTGAGATTAGGACAGAATTTCCAAAATGGCTGTAAACATACTTCTGGCATTTTGTACTAGGTACTCTGTACAGTGGCATTCTCAGCATTGGTTATAGTCAAAATATAAATCAATCCTGAGAAACGCTGATGTTCTATATCACACCGCATCAGATATTCAGCCAAGATTGGCTTCTCTATGCAAAATTACACAAGTACATCTGTCCCATTAATATACAAATTTTCTTTCATTTCTAATAAATGGCAAAATTGCATGTATAGTGATAATTGTTTTATGATAATTTCTTTATGATGTGTTATCAGCAAATGTCTGATTTGTACACATATTTTACATACCTATAGTCCTAGTGTGTAGAAATTCATTGGGTGAAAGGGAGTTGGGAGTGGAAAAGTTCCAGAAGCTCAGCTTCAAATGTATTCCCAGTTGTGCTTTCCTGTAAGCAAGACTTGCACCAAACATCAGAGCCCAACAGAAAACAAAAATTGATGCAGCTCTGTGTCCTTCCAGCAATGGGAAAAACAGGCCAGGACCGAGGAACTTAGCACTGCAGTCCTGCTGTAAGCTCAGAGAAACAGTGCTTGCTGACTTTGAGCTCCACTATCCCTTTGAGGCATCATCAGTGCTGGGGACTGGGTGCAGTGTTGGGTGTATATGTTCAGAGAGCAGGAGGAATTTCTCGTGACCCTTCCTTCCTTATATTTGGATGAGAATTCTAAAGGGAAGCCTTATCTTCATTTTGTGTGTCCTCTTCCCTCTTTCATTGCCCCATGCTCTTGAAGAGGGTAAGAAGAGCAGAAAAAGTTGTAGATGGTTAGATCAAAGTCCAGCTAGAGCGTGGAGATTGCAGAGGAATGGCGAGCAGAATTTATACAGATTTGGAGTGGACAGCAGTGCTGGCTACCTAAGCGGGAAGCCCGCATGATTCCGGAATTAGTAAACCTAATTTTGGAAAGAGAGTCTGTGTAGAAGATAAAAGAGGAGGAACATGTGAAGGAATTTTAGTAAAATGTGGGTACAACTAACTGTTCATTATCACCGACTGTTGGCTCAGTGTTTGTGTTGCATCAAAATCTATTGGCATAATACCGGCTCAAATATTTTATTCCCGGTCTTTAAGAAAGAGCCTTTTCTTTTTACATGTCAAGCAATGAAATGTGAATGAGCTGTCCTGCAGGCATGTGGAATTGAATGTTCATGACAAATTTTATGTTGAGCTTGCTAGGAAGTTGTACACATCACGCTATGAAGACAGTATCATCAATTGCACTGTAAATGAAAGAATTGCAAGGCCTGAGCTTATATTCTATAAACTAATAGCCCCAGTAGTACTTCGCCTGGGTAATCTTTGCCTCTGGGAAACATGGAAAGGGTCCCATGCTTCTCATGGTTGAAACTCTTTCCCCTCCCCACCCCTCCCTACTCCTCCCACCCCCCTCTCCCATTCCCTCTCCCTCTGTGACACAAGGATATAAAATGCACTACACTGTAAAATTTATTTTCATTTTTGTTAATTTTTATGGGTATTGCCAATACCCAGTGCAACAGTAGTTTTTTTTTTTTTATCATCTGGTTCATTTGGTTATACCATGGCTTAGATTTGTAATGCAGTGGGACATAGTTACCATTCTGGGATACATTTTAGGCTTTCTCCCATAGACAGAGAGTGATGCTTGCTATATATCACTTTGTACATGGAAAAGGTTAATTGCCTCTTAATTTCCTATGGGATTTTACAGTGCTGAAATTCATCACCTTGATTCAACTGGGCTATTAGCTGTCATAGTGGAGCAAATCATAAAGAAAAGTCCTTTGAAAATTGTTGGTAGCAAAACTATAAAGCTTCAGGGTGAACTGTGGAGTTCTGGGAAATTGCTTAAAGGTCTGCAGGGAAATTTTTGTTCTGTTACATAACCAACGTACTTGGAGAAATAAGGAAAAATTAAAGTCTAATGAATACGTTCTTGGTTATATTAAATGCTTTTTTTCTCTTACAGAAAATTCTTTGCCAAAACCAAAATTACCGGAGGACAGTGTTATTTCATCATACAATATAAGTGCAGGCTATTCAGGCCTTGCCACTGGGAATGGACTCAGTGACTCCCCTGCAGGGTCAAAGGACCATGGCAATGTGCCCATCATTGTACCTTTAATTCCACCCCCTTTCATAAAGCCGCCAGCAGGTAAGCGCTACTGGGATTCCCGACCATCATGATCAGCATAGTTGTTTCCACTGTCTTAAGACAAATGATTAAAAACTCAATTAAGATGGTTTGATGAATGCTATAGATAAGTGTCAGCTCACATATTGCTTAAAATATTACTGCTGTTATCCAAAAAAATCCCTTATGTATTTCTGCTTGAGCTGTAGCGTTCAATTGTCTCCAGACCTTTTCTACCTCCAGACTCAGAAAAAAGCTATCTTCCTTTTCTGAAGTTACCTACTTTGTGTGTGTGTTTTTTTAAAGAATAAAATATATATAATGCCTGGTTAACAAAATGTGCTAGATTGAACAGGGTGGTGCATAATAAGGAAGGCCCATGTCTTTTGGGGTTTTCTGAGGGAAAGGGCAGTTTTGTAAGAAGGCATATGGGCGGCATGTTCCTGCAATGCCTTCTTCTAAATTCTTTCAAGAGACAAATTATAGTTTGCATCGTCTCCACAGAGTTCTCTCTAATTCCTGAGAAGCTGCCTCTGAGCACCTAAAAGGATGGAACTCTGAGTTCCACTTGCACGAAAATGTAATCGGTTGTTTTATATTTCCAGACAATAAGATGGCTGTGCGTTAAGTCTTGGTGTGGAGGGTTGAATGTGACCATGTTCACTGCAGCTTCCAGATGCAGTTCATACAAATACCCAGAAACACTCTGCTTGCTGTAAATGCTGGAATCATGCTAGAATGCTTTAGTTTTATTGCTAGTTACTTTTGTGTGTGTCGAACTGAACGTTGCCAAATACTGATTTATAACAGCAGTATTTATTGTAGCATGCTAACACTAATGCTTATGTTCACATTTGAGAGGATAGACATTTGGTTGTACTTCCATAAACATTGAGGGCATTTTCAGGTATAGATTCCTCAGTTTGTGTTACAGATGTATTTATACATTGTTCTAAGCATTCCTTCATGGTTTTGGCCATATTCTCTTAAAATAGTTAACAAATAAAACTGACCTATCACACAGAAGTCATTAGATACATAATTAAATTAAAACTCACTTGACAAGCCAGGCGTTGGTGGTACACACCTTTAATTCCAGCACTTGGGAGGCAGAGGCAGGCGGATCTCTGTGAGTTCGAGGCCAGCCTGGTCTACAGAGTGAGTTCCAGGACAGCCTCCAAAACAGTACAAAGAAACCCTGTCTCAAAAAACCAAAACCAAAACAAAACAAAAACTCACTTGACATTAAAATCATTGTTAGTACTAATTACTAACTTAATTGGTACATCATATAATGTTCTTTATTGTTAACCCTATTTTCCTTTGGTTGATGGTTTTAATGATCCAGAGGAACCGGAGTTTATCTCCCAAGGACCAAAGACATATTTTGCATAGGCCAGTTGGTGAGAAAAGGGTAGGTAATTTTGTAAATGTTGTGTTCCCAACTGAATGCATATTCTCGGCTTAGATGAGGGCAACAAGGGTGTTAATTAGTGGGTATGACAAAGTCGCAGGAACACAGGATTCAGACTGAGAAAACCTGCGTTTAAATCTAGGCTTTGTCACTCACCAGCACAGTGAAAGGGGACAAGTTCTGCCAGCCCTGCTCCTTTCAGTCCCTCATTTATAGCATGGGCGTGCGGTGCTACCCCATGGGGTTGTGGAGACGAGGGTGAATACCAGGTACCTGGCATGGTAGCTGCCACCTGAACGTTAGTAGCAAACATGGTACCTCTTTTTCTTTTCCTTTTTTGAACCCTAATCTGCGCTAGGGTCCTCGTGCACATGATTTGTGCATAGAAAGGTGTGCACCCAGACACAAATTCATCTCTAAGATTCATCTGAGCAAAGAAAACAGCCTGAGTAATTAGCATAGCTGAGGCAAGCAGGAATGAGGCCAGAGAACCTGCCCTGGAGTTTCCTGTGGTGCCAGCCACGTGGAATTGAAGCACACAGCTTCTATTTAACTCTAATTCCACACCCGATCAGGAAATAAATATGCAAAAGGATACAGGCCAAAAACTGAGCCTTGGAAGTCATACCCGGAGGAACTCTGAGGAATTAAAGTCAGGGTAACCAAACACCAGCGGTTTTCTGCTGTCTGCTGTGGAACTCCAAGGCACTCATCTGTGGCGAACCAAGTGTAGGGAAGGACATCTTGACTTTTCCGCATCTGCTCTAACCCTGCCCTGTCTGCCTCAAGGTTCTTTATGACAAGATCCCGGATATTCTCTGCTGTCTAGGTCTCACCAAGGAGAAACTCACCGAAGAGACGACGTTTGATTTCATAAACTAGGGCCAGGGTAGTATATCTTTCTTGTGAGTGGCCTGGCAGGATTGTAGACTTTGTGGGCCATACTGTGTCTCACAGCTACCCACAATGCTGCTGCCACAGCAGGAAAGCAACCTTAGATGATGCATGTGCCAAGGAGTGTGCCTGTGTTCCAACAAAACCCTATTTACCAAACAATGAAACTTAAAATAGGTGGTGGACACGGCTTTGGCTGAATCTCCTGTGAGATGGGGTACGATTAGCTAGTTCTTAGGAGGACAGCTAGCAGCGAACTGGGCTTCAGAGCCAGGCTGTGGGTGTGACCGGAGTCCTGCATAATAGAGTAAGCAGCCACAAGGACAGGAAAGTAATGGCTTTCCTGTGCTTACACAGTGTTTGCTGAATGAATTTTTTAAATTTAAATTTGTGTGTGTGCGCGCATGATGGTGTGTGTGTGTGTGTGTGTGTGTGAGCATGTGCAATGGTGATGGATAAAAGGACATCTCTGTGAAGCTGGTACTCTCTTTCCACCTGTGTGGATCCTGGGAATCGAACTCAAGTCACCATCCTTCCGTGGCAAACACTTCGCCTGCTGAGCCATCTCGTTGGTCCTCATTCATTTTTTTAAAAATTTCATTCACTCTGAGAAATAGTATGTTCGGTGTCATGGTGTTCAAGCATGTCAAAAAGCTTTCCGGGATCATGTGTCTCCTAAGTACTTAGGGTCTCCTCACTCCCAATCCAGCATTCTTTTTCACATAAAGTAGCCGTTTCATTCCAAACTTTCAGAACAGTGTCGCTTATTAACTGCCATTACTTCCAGATCCCTCAGTGGCAGGAGATTCAGCTTTTTCTCGAAAGTCCATTCTGGTCTTCAGGAGAGACCCAACTCCTTCACTGTCTTTGAGAATCTATGGGTCTATGAATCCCATGATCATTTGGAGGGAAACACTAGCTTTCAATGGCGGCCATCAGAAGCACTTGCCCCCTTGTGGGTATGAGAGGCTCTGTCTGGACAGGCACTGGTTCCCAGCAGTTTCACAAGCTAAGGCAGACTCACCACCACTCCAGCCCATTCACGTCTTGGCAGCCAGTGAGCCCAGTGGAATGCTCGAGACTGGGAACACAGAGACACCACACTCGCTTGGATTTCCACTCCCTTTGCACAGCTGCATACAAGCAGTGTGGGTGAGCTCACTGCTGGTCCTGACCCACCTCCTCCTTTCCTCTGGAGAAGGGAGCTCCCTGTGTTTCCATGATTACCTACCTCTGCGTTGACCCTGCTTTGGCCTCACATGCTTGTGTCCATTTTCCAAAGCTAAGCTGCCCTTCCCCCTCGGAGACAGCTTCTGGCCCTGGGTGTAGCATTTGTGACATCACAGTCGTTACTATGGCAATAGACTTGTTATAAACACAGGATAATAGCCTTGCTTTTGCTTTTCTTTATTCCCCCATGCAGTGAAGGGAATCACCATGATCCTTAAATAGTAATCACGGACTTTGGAGCAGACTGAGGCTGTGGTGCGGCCGCTTAAAAAGCTGTTACAATGATATCAGGAAATAATAAAAAGCATCCACCAATTCCTTCTATGCTCACACATCTTCATCCTTTTAATTTCAAGAGATCCACAAACCTCCAAGGCTAATTTTTAAAATCACACCATGAACACAGTCTGAACTGGCAAAAATGTATTAGCAAGATTTTGAAATGTTGCTGAGGTTAATTATATCATCACCTTGCTGCGGCTTTCATGCTAGAGACTTTGACACAGGCTCAACCCTTCTGAACTTCATTACGAGAGTTATGTCCAGAAAAGACTCTGGCAACGAAGCAGGGACGCTACTATAACTACTCCCTACTATACCCCACCAAGTCTGAGAAGGGAAGCAACACATTTAAGGTGGATTTTTAAATAAAAACTATTGGCTAAGACCTTATGATCTTTATTGCTTGACCAGACATCAGTCTTTGTAGTAGTACTTTTGCAAAAGATCATCCCATAACAAATCCTCTGCAAACATTAGGCTGGCTTGGGTCTGTCTGCCTTGCCAACCTCTGTTCAAAGGTATGTGGTACCGCTGGGACCACATCTCGAGCCTTTTTTGTCTGGGGCTTGTTTCATGGTAATAGTTTACTCACAAGAATTAAAAATAATAAATCAAAAATCAATGCAACTAGTGGTGTAATTACTTTATTCACAAGGACAGATGAAATGAAGCACGTCTGTGTACTGAAAGTACCATTGCTGTGGGAACTCCACATGTGAAGAAAGCGCAGTGTAGACAGGAGTCTCCCCAGAGGCTCACAACTTGCCTGTGCTGAATCTAGAATCCCTGTAAATCCCCGAATACTTTAAAATGAAATGAAATGTGAAAAAAGAGAAAGGGATATGCTCTCTTGATGCATTTATGTGGCCGTTTTCAATAGAATGCCTTTTACCTCAGATATTAAGTGCCTATGTTTGTATTCCCCTCCATGCTCCCAAGGGAGAGGTAAATGTAGAACCGTCTACACAGCACACACAGGCTTATGTGGAGGAAGTTGAGATCAATCTCCAAAAACCAGCTTGATTTCCTGTCTGCAGACACATCTTGCTTTTCTTTGAAAACAATGACCATTTCCTGTCCCTCAGGGTGGTTTGCATTCAGTGAGCTTTCTCAATTTGTGTTCAGGCAAAGTCATGGAAATATGATATATTTTTTTTCAAGGCAAATCTTGAAATTCCTAAGTGGTTTTAAGAACTGGGCT